GAACAACCTGCCATCCTGAAGAACACATTGGCCATCCTGAAGACCACATTGGCCATCCTGAAGACCACACTGGCCTTCCTGAAGAACAACCTGCCATCCTGAAGAACACATTGGCCATCCTGAAGACCACACTGGCCTTCCTGAAGAACAACCTGCCATCCTGAAGAACACAATGGCCATCCTGAAGAACACAATGGCCATCCTGAAGACCACACTGGCCTTCCTGAAGAACAACCTGCCATCCTGAAGACCACACTGGCCTTCCTGAAGAACAACCTGCCATCCTGAAGAACACATTGGCCATCCTGAAGAACACATTGGCCATCCTGAAGAACAACCTGCCATCCTGAAGAACACACTGGCCATCCTGAAGAACACAATGGCCATCCTGAAGAACAACCTGCCATCCTGAAGACCACACTGGCCATCCTGAAGAACACAATGGCCATCCTGAAGAACACAATGGCCATCCTGAAGAACACATTGGCCATCCTGAAGAACACATTGGCCATCCTGAAGAACACAATGGCCATCCTGAAGAACACATTGGCCATCCTGAAAAACACATTGGCCATCCTGAAGAACACAATGGCCATCCTGAAGAACACATTGGCCATCCTGAAGAACACAATGGCCATCCTGAAGAACAGAAGGTACAGGGCAGTAAGCCGTGCCCAGAGGTGAGACAGTAAGATGAGGGACACAGTGTCTGGCTCACTAACCCTGCCCACAACAATCATTGGTGATTTGCCTTCTACAGTGGAAATCTAAAGAGAGGGGTGATTCTTCTTAGGGAGGGTGTGTGTATACTTGTGCACAGCTGTTTACTCAAGTAACTGAGGGAGTTGGTGCTTACCACTCTTTTCTTCCACAGGGGCTTGTGGGCACTCGGGCAGTGCAAAACCATTCCCAGAGATTATTCAGAGAAACAAGGCTGAGCTGATGACCACCATCCTCTCTCCACAGAGAAAAACATAAAGGATCTTACTGCTGGGTTAATGAGCACACATGCACACACACACACACACACACACACACACACACACTCAGAGCAAGGTGAAAAAATGTAATAAGAGAAGCCTGGAAAACAGAATAAAACGGTCACTTATATACCCGGAATAAGTATGTTTTAAGGTCCAGGGTAGAGATAAGAATACAAATAACTATCCAATTATGTGCCACATTGTATGTGCTCCTCTTGGTTGATACATACATCCACCTGTAGATGATTCCTCCCTAATTCCCACCACATATTCCTGATGGGATGGGATGGGATGGGATGTGATGTGATGTGATGTGATGTGATGTGATGTGATATGATGTGATGTGATGATGTGATGTGTGTTCAGCTGGAAGGTCAGCATGGGCCTGGGAGAATGGGAGCCATGGGGTCTGGTCCCAGTCATTGGTTTCCGACAACCCCTTCCCTTGGCTTTCCTCCTACCTGATGACAACCCCTTGGTCTCCTTTGCCGGCCCCTCTGCCTCCTGAATTTCAACTGTGAATTGTTGAGTATGTGAAGGACTTGGTTTTGGTTATGTTTCTTTTCATTGTGCATATTCTGTGTCTCTATAAGACTTTAGTGCCATAAGTTTAAATGTTTTTAAATATTTTAAATTTATAAATTGCAAATTCCTCTACCATAATAAGCAACCGCCTCCTTATGCCTTCATTTGCATGTCTAATTTGCCTCTTCAATTTAACACGTCTAAAAATGAGGTCTTGATTGATCCCAACATGTTTAACCCCTTCTCTCCCCTTTCTCAATAAAGGGCACCTGGCATTCATTATTTATTTCTCATTCCCTTTTTATCACCGATTCCTGATGATTATATCTCCTAAACACCCACCCCCTCACTCCTGCCTCCTCCTCCCTCTCTGTCTGTTCACCCCATCTTTACCCTAGTTCAAGTCACCATCATCCTTTCTCCAGACTACTATAATTTCCTGGACTTTTCCTGCTTCCTTCTGCCCCTCTATGATTTATTCTCCTGACAGCTTTATGTCAATCACACCATATCTCTTCTCTGCTTGAGAATCAGCGATGGTTTCACACCCATCACTTTAAGGTAAAACCTGAGCACCTCACCCTGCAAGAACGCACTTCTTCCTTCCTCTTCGGCCCCATCTTGTGCATCCCTTCGGTGCCCATTCTTTCTCCCGCGCATTGCCTTCTTTACATCCTTGAACATCCTCGACCTTTCTAGCTCAGGGCTTTTCTGCGCTTGTCTGCCCAGAAGGCTCTGCTCCTGCTTTTAGCATGGCTGGCTCATTCTGGCTTTTTAATTCCCGGCGGAAAGATTATCTCTTCAGAGGGAACTTTCCTAACCATCCTCTTCACAGTCAAATTCCCAGGTTCATTTCTGACATACCATCTCATTTATTTTTTTCAAACTATTTACTACAAGATGTGAATATCTTCTTTATCATTTACTTTTAAACTTTTCTATCTAGAATGTATTTGTTGCATAAAAATGTAAACCCATTAGAACAGATATTTTGTCTAAAGTGCTCCTAAATCTCCAGCACCTGGCACCGTGATGGGCACCCAGTAGCTTCTCAATTAATGCTTGTTAAATGAATGAATAAGTGGCCCCTACCATCATTGCAAATATCTGCATTTAGACACAACAAGAAAAAATCTGTGCTGTCATGAAGTGGGTACTTGGTGAATTCCGGGAAAAGGCTGCTGTCTGTGAATGGGGTTGTGTCCCTCTGTCTTCCTTCACCTGGGAACTGGCACTTCTGAAGGTGTGATTTGACTCACCATTACTCTGTGCTGGCAGCAATGATCTGGGCATAGGGCTTTTCTAAAGCTAAGAAACGAGGCTCTTTCACAAAAGAACTAAAAACAGAATTCTGATTCATGGCTTTGCTAATGGCTTTTTCCTCCAGGGGAACCTCCCTGTGCACAGTGAAACCTCTCTTGGGGCACAGCCTTATGCCTCACGTGAAGGTAACCATGGAACATCAGCTCTGCTGGCAGCTTGGCAGGCTTAACCCAAGGGGTACGCAAATGGTGGCGCCCGCCACCACATCAGACTGTGCGCCCTTCCGCCAGAATGCGGGTTCCCGCCCACGCTTCCCCAAGGTTTGTTTGGAAGAGCTGTTGGCCTAGTTGATAACCTCGTGAATACAAGTGGCAATAATAAGGACAAACATGCCAGTGAATATTTCATTATAAGGTTTGAAAATAAAGACAAAAAGAAACCCAGAAAATGATTACAGGACAAGGGTAAGAGTGTCTTCTATGTTGTATTTGTTGTTGGTTTCCTGTTCTTTCCTTTAAAAATTATTTTTGAATGAAATGAACTACTTGGATGAAGTCTAAATTGCTTAATTACATAGCCTGTAAATAGGAAAACAATCAAGTGGTGACTTGGAACGCTTGCTCTCTTGCCTTTCACTGAAACACACAAGGTGTGAGGAGGGAGTGAACAGTAAGAGTATATAAAGTGAGCAGAAACTATTGCCTGGTGAGGGACAAGACTACAGACTAAAGAGAGTGAGATGCTAGTCTCTCTCCTACCTCCTCACCACCTGACCTCTTCTCTCCACATCCAGGGGCCCTAGTCCCCTACTCCCACACTCCTCTGGGAGGGAACCACCCAGTTTTAACACACTGCAATGCAAATAATTCTTACATATATCTTGTGGTTTGTGAGTACTTTTACGTATCATTCCCATCGTTATCTTCAGTGAACCCTTACGAATGATCTAACCTGCAGAAGAAGAATCACAAAAATACCTCGTTGTTGCCAGCCAATTAATTTTGGCTGTAGACACCCCAAAAGAGAAAACCGAGGCACAGAGAAGCAAATGTTACGCCTACATGGAGGTGGCAGTCTGCAAAGATCAGACCAGCCCACCTCCACCAGCACCAACCTGTCTGATCTAGTGACAAAAGACTGTATGGTCTTCGGCAGAAATTGGTGGAAAATCATTTTCACTACCTCCCTCCTGGAGAGTTAGGGAAAGAATCTTTAACAACAAACTTTGGTCCCTACCCAAATATGGCAAAGTGGATCTTCCTTGCAACATTACCTAGAGCAGAAGCCATCTGCCTCATAGGCTTGTGAGAACTGAGAGAGCGGGCACAGGTAAAGCACCTAGATTGTGGCTGGCACATAGTAGATGCTCAGTAAACATAGCTTTTTTTTTTTTTTTTCATATTTTTTCCACTCACCCCTTTTCTCGTCTGTACAATAAGCAGAGATTCCAGATGCCTTCTCAGGGAGGCAGGGAGCAAATGAATTCCTGGCTGCCCTTCCCTAGACTACAATACCTCTGAGATGCTTCCACTTCTGGTTCTTTCTTCTCCGGGCCTGCTGCCTAAGTTCCCAGGACTCCCCTGGAAAACTTCTGATGGGAAAGGCAATGGGACTCTTCCTAAGCCTTTCTTTACTTGCACTTTGCAACCCTGGGAGACTCGCAGCCCCGCCCTCCCAGGTTTGCAAGAGGTATGGGGTTCTCTGGGAACTTACATGGCTTGCAATTGAAATCGGAAGCTCTCAAGACATCTCAAAATTTTTCTTTTTTTTCAGTAGAGATTGGGGATGCTGGCGAATGGGTCTTTGTAAATACAGAAGGACAAAACGCAATTTGATTCTTCTCATAACATTTCTGGATGCGTGGAGGCACAGTGCTGGGCGTGTGGCGGGGCCGGGTGTGTTTCCTTACTGATGAAATGCACTGCGCAGGTCAGCGCTGTAAACTGGCACTGAGAGAAGCCGGTTGCGGGGGTGGAGGGGGTGTGGTTGAGGGTACTGGGTGCTTGTTTAGGGGCCCGTGAATGTGAACGTGCGAAGGGAAGAGGCGTGCCCGGAGAGCGCGGGAAAGATTACTGGTGAGGCAAGTGTGTGTCTGTTCCCAAAGCGCCCTGGCTCGCGGCAGCCCCTGGATGGGCGAGGGGTGTGATGTGGGAGTGGGGTGGGAGGGGGCAGCAGGCGGGGCCTGCCACGTCACTTGGGGAGTGTGTGTTGGGAAGGAAGGGCAGAGCGGAGAGCCGAGCCGCTGCAGCAGCGGTGGCTGCAGCAAAGGCTTGAGCGGTGGGGAGGTGGGTCCCCGCGCTCCGGCGCCTGGGCAGCCCCAGGGCCCGGTCCGAGGCCTGCGGCTAGGCCCATAGGGAGGAGGTGGCGGCCGTGGCGTGGGAACGGCGACCTTGGCTAGACGGAGCCCGCGGTGGACGTAGGGCGGAGGCCGATCCCCGCTGGGAGTCTTTGCGGAGCCGGAGGGAGGCGCATCTGGCGCTTCGGTACCCGCGGCAGCCTGGGGTCTTGAGCTGTTGGAGGAGCGCAGTGGGAGCTGGGAAGTGCTAACCCGTCTGCAGGGCGGACCCCTGCGTCCCGAAGCCCCGTCTCAGGCACCGAAGGGGCGAAGCCACCCGTCTTTTCGGGCATCCAGTGTCCTACGCGCCAGTTGGCGGTTCCAGGTATCCCAGTAAGCTCCAGACTCAGGCGCGGACAACTGGCGGCGCGGAGCCAAATCCTCTGCTTCCCAGGGCACCTCCCCTGAGCTAGCCTTGTAGGGACCCGGGCTTCAGGGCTCAAGGACCCAACAGCAGGTCAGACCGCCAGCTCGGAGGAGCTCGAGCCCCACCCTAGGAAGAGGGCGCAGCCGGGCGCTTGGGAAGCGCTGCCGTGCTCCAGAGGTTGTATCGGGGGCGCTGTTCTGGTGGCGGAGCGCGCGGCGGAGAGGACATGAGATCCGAGAAATCCCTTACGCTGGCGGCGCCGGGGGAGGTCCGTGGGCCGGAGGGGGAGCAACAGGATGCGGGAGACTTCTCGGAGGCCGGCGCGGGCGGGGGGTGCTGTAGTAGTGAGCGGCTGGTGATCAACATCTCCGGGCTGCGCTTTGAGACACAACTGCGCACCCTGTCGCTGTTTCCCGACACTCTGCTGGGAGACCCTGGCCGCCGCGTCCGCTTCTTCGACCCCCTGCGGAACGAGTACTTCTTCGACCGCAACCGGCCCAGCTTCGACGCCATCCTCTACTACTACCAGTCCGGGGGCCGGCTGCGGAGGCCGGTCAACGTGCCCCTGGACATCTTCCTGGAAGAGATCCGCTTCTACCAGCTGGGAGATGAGGCCCTGGCCGCCTTCCGGGAGGACGAGGGCTGCCTTCCCGAAGGGGGTGAGGATGAGAAGCCTCTGCCCTCTCAACCCTTCCAGCGCCAGGTGTGGCTGCTCTTCGAGTACCCCGAGAGCTCGGGGCCTGCCAGGGGCATCGCCATCGTCTCCGTGTTGGTCATCCTCATCTCCATCGTCATCTTTTGCCTGGAGACGTTGCCCCAGTTCCGTGCAGACGGTCGAGGTGGAAGCAATGGTGGTGGTGTGAACAGAGACTCCCCGATCTCCAGGGGGAGTCAGGAGGAAGAAGAGGATGACGACGATGCCTACACATTTCACCCTGGCATCACTCCTAGGGAAGTGGGGGCAAGGGGCCCGTCCTCACTAAGTACTCTTGGGGGCTCCTTCTTCACTGATCCCTTCTTTCTGGTGGAGACCCTGTGCATTGTTTGGTTCACTTTTGAGCTCCTGGTGCGTTTCTCTGCCTGCCCCAGCAAGCCAGCCTTCTTCCGCAACATCATGAACATCATCGACTTGGTGGCCATCTTCCCCTACTTCATCACCCTGGGCACTGAGCTGGTGCAGCAGCAGGAGCAGCAGTCAGCCAGTGGAGGGGGCGGCCAGAATGGGCAGCAGGCCATGTCCCTGGCCATCCTCCGCGTGATCCGCCTGGTCCGGGTGTTCCGCATCTTCAAACTCTCCCGCCACTCCAAGGGGCTGCAAATCCTGGGCAAGACCTTGCAGGCCTCCATGCGGGAGCTGGGCCTGCTCATCTTCTTCCTCTTCATTGGAGTCATCCTCTTCTCCAGCGCCGTCTACTTTGCGGAGGCTGATGATGATGATTCGCTCTTTCCCAGCATCCCAGATGCCTTCTGGTGGGCAGTGGTTACAATGACCACAGTGGGGTATGGGGACATGTACCCCATGACAGTTGGGGGCAAAATTGTGGGCTCACTGTGTGCAATCGCTGGGGTCCTCACCATCGCCTTACCAGTGCCCGTCATTGTCTCCAACTTCAACTACTTCTACCACCGGGAGACAGAGCAGGAGGAGCAAGGCCAGTACACCCATGTCACTTGCGGCCAGCCTGCGCCGGACCTGAAGGCAGCCGACAATGGACTTGGCAAGCCTGAGTTCTCCGAGGCTGCCCGGGAACGGAGACCCAGCTACCTTCCCACTCCACATCGGATGTATGCAGAGAAAAGGATGCTCACCGAGGTTTGACCAGTGCAGGCAGGGCCTACACGAGAAGGGTGACACAGAGCAAGTACTTTCTTAGGCCTCCTTCTCGTTCTCCAGGACTCTCTCCTGAGCTCTGGTTGACTTCCTGACGCCTTCCCTTACCCCAGAGCACAGCCTCCAGGACCAGATACCTGGACTGTCAACCTTGTTGCTTGGTCCCTGCGGCATTCAAATTTTATCCCTCTAAGTAAAATTTTTGAAATTCTAATGGTGCCACCCATTCATGACCATCTTCTGTATGTGGATGAGATTTCTGTCTTAATTTCCTTCAAGATTCTTATTTTTCATGTCTCAGACTTCCAATAGCTGTAGGCACAGAGATGTCAATAGATTGGAAACCAGGTTATACCTGGGTCCTGTTTCTCCTCAATGTCCTTTGCTTTGGGGCATGTGCCTGTGTTAGCTTCTGGCCAGGTGGTAACCGGCAGAAGCTGGAGGACAGAAACAGTACTCATCTTACTGTTTTATTCCAGGGCCCTGTAACACCTGCTGGTCATCCTGCAGAGGACCCTTGAGAGAGCCGTTAGCTGCACAGCCTCAAATGGTATTAAAGAAACTACAATTGAACTTGGTCATTTGGAGCACATAGCGTGAGTCCCGGACCAAAGGGCCCAATGGATTTCTCTAGGTGTCTTCTGGCACAGTAGACGTCAGTCTTTGGTCTACATGTAGTGCCCCCGACTCTGACGCCCTGACGCTGTCTAGCTTCCAGGAAGGCTGTTTCTCAGAGCCAGACACTCTAAGTGCAAGTGTCTGCCTGTGCAGAGGGACTAGCGAAAGGAAACCACAGAACCAGGAGAAGTGGCCAGAGTCAGGCAACTGGATATATCTGAAGAGAGGTGGCACGTAAACAGATATTGTCATCCCAGAGGGGCAGAGGAACCTTGCTGCAGATGGCACATTTCCCTCCCTCACTTCCCCCAACCTCTTTGGCCCTCCACCCTTCTTCTTGGGGATTTGATTTAGGACTGTCGAAGACTTTCTAAAACAAACTCCAGCTTAAACCTGCAGACCAGTCAAAGCACACATTGGATGCTCGTGTGGATGTCTTCTCGTCTTACTGGGAATGGAGCAGGTGTTTTAGGGTTCGGAAGAAGCATTATTTCCTTGCTGACAACCACGCTGCTAGAGGTTTTTTGCTGAGTCAAGCAAACATTCTCCTCTCTGCCCCTTGGAGCTGCAGCCGACGGGCTCTAACCGGTAAGGAGACGGGGTGGTGTCACCGCCACTCACTGCCTGGACAAAGCCACCTCTGTCCACCGTGACACTCCCGCCCGCCATCTCGCCCCCCCCCTCCCGTTTCTCTCCTGGTGGCACTGTCATTTGTCTGTGGCCTTGACAAACTGTGATGTACTGTTCTGAACTCTTTCGGGTACAGTTCAGAAACCAAAAGGACTGTTCATATGTTTTTAATTTTCTATTTATGCTTTAAGACTCTGGGATGAGAATTTTTTTTAAAAAAGATTATTTTCTAGAAGAGCAACTTGTGAGGGATGGCCTTTGGAGGGTTTTCTCGAGACACCATGACCCCTGTGAGTACCAGACCTCAACCTGGGTTTTGCCACAGCTTTACAGGGTAACTTTGGCGCCACCCTCTTTGTGCCTCGGTTTCCCTACGCGTTACATGGGACCATTAATGTCTTCCCCTCCCTACCTCATGGGGAATGTCCAATGAACTCATCTGGGAAGCTGGGGATGATGCTATGCAAATATGTGAGTTTTCGTAATGGACTTGATTTTTAGTTCATTACTCTGTCTCCCATCTCCCATGGGCAAAGCCTCTCCCCGGAGTTTCTGTCTTGGATCCAAAGCCCAAGAATAGGCCATTCTGGGCCATTTGCTCCTTTAATCCCTGCTCAGCCTTTTGAACGGGGTCTCCGTCTTTCCTCTTGCCCCTCAGAAAGGGGCGTCTCTTTAGACAGGTTCAGTGGGATCCGTGGGAGCAGAGCCCACTCTGAGTGGGAGCTTAACTTCTCCAAACCCGAAAGACAGCAGAAGATCGAGGAGTACGTGATGTAGGAACCTGCTCTCAGGCCACAACGTGCTGCTTTTCCAAGGCTCTTCCGTTACCCCTGGGCATTGGGGGAAAGGGGCAGGGCTAGCCGAGGGGACGTGTTGGAACATGTAGGCATGTGTCTCTACATATGTGTATGTGATCATCTTCATCGCCATTCCTAACGAAAGATTTCCTTCTCAAGCCGGAGCCTGCCCGAAAGTACAGGGTTTGTGGAGCCTGGCTGGGCTCTCCAGGGGCTCCGGTTGCCGTAGCAACCTTCCGGACTGTTCTCTCTATTTTCTGATTTGGGCAGCAAGGGAGAACAGGAGACACCACATCCCCAGCTTCTGAAATGGGAACACCTCCCCCCTACTGGCTCCGGGACTGGCCAGGACAGGGAGCTGTGACCTTCAAAAAGCGGGTCCCTGAAACTTGCATTGGGCCTTTCTTCCCCGTTTCCCCACCAGCCACTGAAGCTGCCTCATCTCACCTCTGATGCTCCAGGACTTGAATGCCGAGCCACTGCCCGGTAAACCAATGTCAATATAATCTTTCTCACAATGACAAGGGGAGCGCTGGAGGGGACTCGATCCTCAAGAGGCGGCCAAGCTGGGCCTTGGCGAGAGTCATGACGGTTTTGATCATAGTATCAGGAAGTTTCATCTCCTCCGAGAGAGGCTCCTCCCGGCTCTGAGAGAGATGGAGAGAAACGATATTCCTTACCCCCTGCCCAGGGGGACAGTCTAGCTCCTGGGAGGAATTTCATGGGTCGTTCTTAAAATGTCGAAGCAAAACCGAGAGACTGTGACCTGACCTAGTTTCTGTGGAGGATTTCGCCAAGTGATCCCTCTCTGACTCTGAGCCTCTCGATGTGGATGTTGCGCCCTGAGCACCAAGAGAACATGCACCCTGCGTTACTGGACGGCTGGGCGGCGGTTTCACAGCTGCGGCACAGGCCAGGGCCAGGCCGTCCTTACGCCCGACTCAGCCAGCAGGAGCTCCCGACGTCTTCCTGGATCTGTTCAGCTCGACAGACACGTGGGACAGTCCTCCTTCCTGATCATCCCCACGATGAGAGAAAGGGACAGCTGGCCGTCTGTGCATCTGAGGTAGGTTCTACTGCTGGGGAATTTCGCATGGGCTCAGTCCTCTGGGCCAAATTAGACTCAGGGTGAGGGGGAGCAGGGGGGGAGTAAATGCATCTGGGGGAAATCGGAGTTCAGATTCCTCTGCCTTCAGCAGCCACCTCGCTCTCTGTCTGTGTACGTTCTTCATTCATCTGCTTCAGTTTCCTTCTGTTTCTCCTCCGTTACTGCTGCTGTGCCGCCTCCTAACCATCTCCTCCTCTCTGCATTCCCCCTGCTTTGCCTTCTCACTCACTCTATTTCTTCTTCTCACATGTCCTGTCTGTTGTGTTAATCTCTTGTTCCTTCTATGTGTTTCTATCTTTCTCCCCGCTTCGCCTTTTTGGTGGCCGGGAGCACCTGCAGGATTTCTGGGGAGGTCACACTGTGAACTCTGGTCTAGCTGTTTGCTGAGAAGGTCGTTTCCCAGCCAGAGGAGACCCTTTCCCCTGACTTCTCAGTAGATCATCTCCTCCTACTGTGCTCACCTCAGTGGAGGGAAGTCCTGAATCTATGAAGCAAGATGGGGTTGCTGTGCATTTAGAAAAGTGTCACCCAGAATTTCCTGAACCCGCAAGGATGTGTGTGTGTGTGTGTGTGTGTGTGTGTGTGTGAGAAAGAGAACCTGATAAATCTCCGATAAATACTCTGCCATATGGCATTAAAATATAGGCACCTTAGGGTCCCCCAACCTTAAGAAGTTTACAGAGATGTTCAAGACAAAGGAACAGTAGAAATAGTAAAAATACAGAAGAAAGATGATTTAGAAACATATACGATTGGAATTAGCCTGGAAAATCTTGACTCGGGGTGAGTGTCTAATGCCTTAGTGCACTGGGAGGTTCTCAGACACCCAGCTGTCCCTCCTGGACACTGAAGGCAGAACAGAAGCTAGGACATTAATCCCAGCAGTGTGAGGTGCAGGGGAGACCCCTTGACAAGATGGATTAAGATCCCCCAACCAGTCCGTAAGAGAGCTGTGTTCCTTGCCGGCAGTTGGAGAGCGGAGGGTCAGTCCCACCTGCCTCGGCACATGGCGGGGGGGGGGGGGGGGGGCTTTGGGGGCAGTAACGGGAGTTTTCAAAACAGGATTGTGGTGAGAATTGTACAACTCTATGAATTAACCAAAAAAGTCATTGATTGTGGGGAAAAAAAAGGTGACATGAGGCTAATAACCTGGGAGAGTCACCTCTTGGCTGGGTGTGACATCTTGATTTGGATTTTTACATCTAGAAATTTAGCATCTTTAACGATGGGCCAGACTAAGCATCCGGATGGAATAACAGTGTTTCCTTCTGCCACCTGGGGACACTCAGAGCCTTCCACGCAGTACCATTGCTCCTTGCTACTCATGTGCAGTACCCAGAACCGATTCCTGTCTTTTCTGACAGTCAAACCATGGTGGGGTTTGCATGCTTGTTTGTTTGTTTTTGCTCTAAAGATAGGTCAAACCGATTTTGGTAAATGCAGATCATAACTAGCATTGTTAAACTACAACAAGTATGTTGGCCACTATTTATTACATGGAACTAAGGCAGTGAACTTGCCCAAGGGACTTAAACTTTGCTGGAAAAACAAAAACAAAAATGCTCCACAAACCAACCAAAATAACCCCTCCTAATCTCCGCACCTGTGAACACAGACTTCCTTAAGAAATTTCTCAGGAGCCAGGGATGTACTCTCCTGGCCTCCCCCTTGTCCCTGCAGCGCTTGTTAACCCTTCTCAGCCTGCCCGTGGGGTCCCAGCCGGCAGGCGCCCCGTGAACGGAGTGGGGCCGGCAGCCTTCCATCACACTTCGCTCTGCTCTTCTCTTACTTGCCTCCCCCTCGGGAATCCCCTCCTCCCCTGTCCCCCTTGGTGCTTTCCTCACATGGCACCGGCAGTCCTGCTGCGTGTCTGTCCTCTCTCCGCAGGCGCTGCACCCCCGCTCTGGCCATATCTCTGTCGCCCAGCATCTGCATGTAGATGCCAAGTAGATTCCCAGAGAATACTGTTCTCCGGGGACGTCTGGCTGGAACTGGTGTCCCGGTTTTGACTGTGTGTTGTCGCCCCAGGAAACAAAGTGTGATGTCACTCTAGCGTGTCAAGGTCGCCTAGGGGAGGAAAAGAAATCCATTCTTTAAACTGTAGGGTCTCCATCTCCCTCCTTCCTGGGGGCGGCGGGGGAGGGGGGCACAGATGCCTCAGGCAGAATCAGGCCTGAGATCGGGCTTTGGGGAGGAGAAGGAGCTTCCTGAGCTCAGGCCACCAGGGGTAAGGACAGATGGGCTCTTGGTGTTACTGTACCTCACGATAAACCACTTCCCCGTTCTGGACGCCAGGCCTCCGTGGGGTTGGAGACTGTCATGTCCATTTGCTCTGAAGTCCCGGAGAAAGGAGTTCACCCTGCCTCTCCATCCCTTCTTGGTCCTAATG